AAAAGTTTGTGATTGAGTCACTTTGTGTTGTAAAGTGGTGAAGACACGAGGGCTCAGATTATGGTGGGACACTTCCTGCATTCTGGAGACATTTTCTGCACCAGGTTATGGAGGAAATGTCTTTATTTATATGAAGAGAAATAAAATGAAGGTGAATGTAACAGAATCTAATTCAGTAATCAGCTTTTGGACGATGCACTTTTGTTTCTTCTAGATTTCAGTTGCAGTTTCTTATTGTTTCATTTGTTATTTAGCATTTCCTGTTGCTGTTCTGAACATTTTTAATAAAAGCTTTCAGAAAGTGATGGAGACATCCTGACCTGTTTTTACTTGTACTTTAGTAAAAGTTCATCAGTATAACAGTACTTTTACTAAAGTACAATATTTTAGTACTCTTTCCACCTCAGCTAATATGTATCTGCATCGATATGTCACACCTGATGTCCTCACCTTCCAGCACAAAGCGGCGCCCGACATGTCGCGGTCTTTCTCTCGTTGCAGCAGACAAACGCAGGTTATCTGTACATGTAAGCGTCAGACAGACCCCTCCGTCTGCTCCTCACCTTTTCACCCCTGACCTGTCTGCGTGCCTGGAAGTGTCTATCACGATGTTTGATTATTGATGGTGTGATTCTGATCCACAGGAAGTCTATGACTCGCAGGACTCGAGCTGGAAGGAGAACGCAGAGTGTTCGTGGTCCAGCGGCAGGAAACTCTACCCGGACAAGTTGTCCACAGAGAGCAGTTGAGTGGAACTGAACACTGTTAATAAAGTTATTCTCTTTTGAACGTGTGACGAGCTTCCTGTTTCTCATAGGTTAGAGGTTAAATCTGTTGATTCTGTCGGTTAACGTTCATGTCGGTCGTGACTTTTTGGTCCAGAGTGAGACCTCCTCACCGTCGGCTGCTGCAGAGGTCCAACAGCAGCAGCAACATGTCATGTATCAGGATTACTTTTCCCAGTAACCAGTAGTGTAACGTACTACTTTTCTATAACAGTCATAATCAGTGTAACGCTGCGGTACTGAACGCACCGTCCTGGACTTGAATGTGTGAATGTCAGCAGCACCAGAGTCTGTTGTCCATGTCCACTGAGAGCCAAACACTAAATGAAGAATGGAGAACGACAGAGCGAGGCGTTCTTTCCACAGCTGTAAGCAGCTGATACCATTATTGTGTCACAGTCTAAGATGCAAAGAATATTATAATCCATTGTAAAGTCTGTGCGACCAGCAAAAAGCTTTCAACTGCGAACATTTCTACATCTGATTTATTGAATCTGCTGAAGCAGCACAGCAACGTGAAACTTGGAGAAAGAAACTCCAGCAGCTGCTGTCACTGATGCTCCGACTCATCGGGAGAGAGTTGCGTAATAGTAACGTTTTAGTGTATGGGATAATTATCAAATTATCTCTCTCTCTCATGAACACGCTGCACAAACCTGTCCAAAGTTTGAACATAGCTGGGTTGTCGAAATAGGAGACTCCTCCCTCTGCCCCGTCGCTCGCCACAGTTACGGTGTCATTCTGTGGGGAAACGCTGGAAAGTAATGTAGTAACGTAACGAGTAACCTAAGAAGTTACTTTAACTAAAGTTATTACTTTTTTAAGAAGTAGCTTATTACAATTTCTGGGTAACTAAGACGCACGGATCTTTCTCTCTACGCAGACGACTCTGCCCTGGTGTTTTCCCATGAGGGTAAGAAAGTTATTGAGTCATTTAAGGGATGAGTTGAAGACCATTAGCACTGTTTGGTTTGAAAATGAAGCTAGAGAACTCAGTATGACCTAGAAAGTTCCCTGAGTGGAGACTGTGGAGGAATTATTGTGAGCCAAGTTCAGGAGTGATGAAGACTGAACACAGCATGGTTCATTGAGCCAGCATACAGCATGTGAACACATCGAACACCAAATCTGAAGGACAAGATCTGTCTCGTACCTGTAGGTTTCTCTCTTAGCTGATCTTTAGCTGGCGTTAACGTAGAACAACTGATCTATCTGATGTTTACTCTCCAACGCTACGTCATAGTGGAATCTACCCATGAGCTGTACTCTAATCTGTGGAGCCAGTGAGTTCTTCTTTCTTGTAAGATTCCCAGAGAACACAGATATGTGCTGTATCTACCTGATCAGACTACCTGTTGTCTCCCTAACAACAGATGCATGAGAGAAATAACCAGAGCGGGAATGTCGGTGAACACTCGTGGGGTCAGCTAATGACTCCAAGCTTGACCTGTTTTACCTGTTCCTGTTACGTCCCCCTAAGAAATATCTCCAGCAGAGACAATATGGGTCAAAGGGTTTCTCAGAAGTCAGAGAATTAAATTTCTGGCTCGTAAGGCTAATTTTCTAAATAAAGATGTTAGTAACAGCCTCACTTTGTCTGATGGTGCATCGGAGATGACTTTCGCTGACTTGATGCTGCGGGGACGGCTATGAAAACGCCTCTGTTAATCGGACACGCTCTGCTTCGTGTGTGGAATTTGGATCAATGTCTGAACTCGCAGCAGAAGCGAGTTCCAACTTTGTGCAGCTGCAGAAAAGAAACTGCGTCGCCGTCCCAGAAAACTGTAGCCGGCTTGCTCCCACGAGGTTTTAACGTCGCGACAGGGTGACTCACCTTCAGATGCAGCAAAATAAACCAGTCGGGTTGATCTTTAACCTGAACAGCAGGACTTGCGTCGGCTCTTCTGAACTCAGGGAATTAAAACGGTTGAAAACAGGGTGAAACAGCTGAAAGTGAGACTGAGTCGAGGTGTTTTAGAGATTATTTTAAGCTCGTTGGGAACCCTCATGTCTCTTCAGAGGCCACAGGGCCACTGACAGGCTACCTGTAGATTTAACTTGGGATGGTGATCGAGCATGTGGTGGTTCTTTAATACTAATTAGAGGGAGTGTCTTTAACATGTGTGGCTCCTGGTGAGGGGGCCCCAGGTGTACATGCATGTATTTGTGCTGTGTTTATCTGTATATTAGAAGATGATTGTACACAGCGCCCCTTCAGTCATCTCTATCAGACTACAGTGAGGACCTCAGTGGAGATCAGGCTTTAGCTCTGCTGTGTGAACCTCCACAGTTCTGACGAAGGTATTTTGTCTGTGAGGATGAGAGTTGTATTTGCATTTATTCATATTACTGTCTAATAAATTATAAAACCCAGAATTTGAATACATGCAAAAGGATCTGTCTGCACGTGAGGATCAGGTTCTGTTGTTTTACCAGTTAAAACTTCACAATTTATACAGTCCAACTTGTATTTTCAAAGCACTGCTCCAAGACATGCAAACAAATTCTTTTTTATGAACAGATTTTATCGCCATTCTGAGAATCTTCACACACGTCTTTGATATTATTTTGCTGTTCCAATAATAACCCATCCACCACTGACTATAAATATACATGACAGTTATAAAATATACATATTGTACATATACGCATACACACACACGTTTATCTATACATTACTACATATACCAACACATGCATGAAATAAAATGATAATAGTATAAACTGAAGAGGAAAGTGTGACGTGTCATTAGAATTCATAACAAGCTGTTATGAGGTTTCCTGTTTTCTGCTGAACTAGAAAGTTTAGTTTCAAATTCTGTGCAAAATGAAATAAACCGGCAGAACTCACAACCGAAGAGACAATGAGGAGGCTGGAAAACCAGAAACTAGAAAGAGAAGTGATCGTTTCAGCGTGACCGAAACACAATGTTCTCTCTGCCAGCAGTCACATTAAAGGTCAGACACACGGCGGCGTCCTCTTCCTGTTTCAGCAACGCACAGAACACTACTTCCTGTCATGGGTCCAGTGAGCTGGGAGGATGAAACCGCAAGCTTCACATACTTCACTGATGCTTCACAGGAAATTGGATTTGTTTCAGTGACCACATCCGGTCCTCGCACACAGGAAACAGGCATCTAAAGCCTAATAAACTACACCCTGTAATAATAATAATAATAATGCTAAATAGGCTTAAATACATAAAATAAAAAGAGGGCTTCAAGAGTTATTGAACCACAATTTCATACCAGTCTTTAAATACAACAATACAACACAACGTTGCCTCAGAGGCGTGAAGTGTGAAACACGTGGAAGAGAATGATCACATCAAAAAGGGATGAATCCACATCAATAATGAACGACGTACTGATCTCTGACCAGTCTGTCATTGATGATATCTTGGACACATTGCAGCTCTGTCTCAGTCCGTCTCGAGGAGGGCCAGAGAATCCACCTGAGAACACCAGATCTAATCTGTTCTGAAGGAAGGAAATGAAGATGTGTGAAAATCCTTCCAATGCCACTTACAGCTGTGTTTCTGATGCCACAGGCAGGCTGCGTATCGCCAATATGAGCGTTATGTGTTGACGCTTTTGTGTAACCAAGTCAGGGCCGAGATATCAGGCTGAAACTGAGACCCAGGTTTATTGAAACCGCCCTCAGGCCCTGATCTGAAGTGTTTTCCTCACCTGTCAGTCGCAGTAATCTTTCCTCTAGTGAAACTCTGATTATACCTCTGACTCACCTGTGTGGGCGGGGCTTAGCAGGTGATTTCCTGAACAAAATGTTTTGTCCTGCAGCTCTGGGAGATATTTACTTTGTTCATTTAATTATCTGGATGTGTTAAAAACCAACACATAGGAAATACATAATAAAATACAATAAAGTGCATCTGATAAAACTGGATAATAAATAATTATAACAATTTATAAGTAATCATAAAGTAGCCCAACGCTAAGCTTTATCCCCGAGCCTCGAAGTAACAAATATTAAAGAAAGTTTCTCAGCTTTTATGCAGAATGTTTCTTATTTTTGTCATATTTATATATTGTCCTAGAGAAACCTTCTGTTCAACCCTCTGCAGGGGAGAAGACTTATTAAAGCTGACCCCCCTTTCTTTCCCTCTCACTGTTCTTTTACACACTTTAATGTTCACACGTTTCTGTCTTTGAAACATCTGTAACCTGCGATGGAGCTCGGCTCGCTGAGCTTTTATTTTGAATTTGCCCGGAAGTGCTGTGCCCGCGGTACCCAGCGTCCCGTGCTCAGCGTCCCCCTCCCCGGTTGGTCAGCTGACCGTCGGTCGGTCTGGTGACTGTCGAACTCCTGGAGCTCGCACTGTCACCTGGATACCAGCAGGCCGAGGCCGGTCTCTGTGTCCCCGTCACTGGAGCTCCTGACCCGCACTGGTTCCTGCCGTCTCCTCGCTGCCTCTTCTGGAGGCCCCGACAAGCCGAGCTCGTCGCGCCCACAGTCGGACTCTAACCCTCCGCTCCTCCGGTTGGTCCCAGTCCGAGGCCGGTGAGCTGGTCGACTCTCTCCCGAGCCCCCTGTGACCCCCTGCCGGCCCCCGCGGCCCGCCATGGCCCTGCTGGAGCTCGCCCTGCAGGGCCTCGCCGTGTTCGGCTTCATCCTGTTCTTCGTCCTGTGGCTGATGCACCTCATGTCCATCATCTATGTGTGAGTCCGGCTAGGCTAACACTAGCCCAGCGATGCTTCCGTTTCCTGTTTATTTCTGTGTTTTATTTCTCTCGAGATGAAGCATTTAAATGAAAATAAGTTTGGCTTCTCGGCGGGTTTGTGGCCGTGTGACAGCCGAGCGACGCTCCGTGTCGCGGCGGCGAGCTGTTGGGCGTGTTCCTGGGCAACCGCTAGCCGGTTAGCTCCAACACTTCCCTCCGCTCACCGGGGCTCCGCCGGGCTGCTGGGATCAGTTCAGTCATAACTAAGTCATTTTAAGATGATCCACATGTGACAGTTCATAAAGAAGCTGAAATTAGTCTTATTCCTTCGCACAGATCTTTATCACAAGGTCTAACGTTAACTCTCTCACGTCACGGCTGGTTAGCGGAATGAATTTCCTGTTTCCTGTTGACGCCGCATTACATTTTAAAAACAGCCGATTTAACCATATTTATGGTCAGCGCTCGTTGTTATGGCCTGATCAAACATAGCAAAGTAGGTTTATGTAGTAATACGAGTCGCTCTTCAATTCGGCTTTGATACAGTTCACCTAGTTTCACAGGATCCACTAACGTTCAAGTTTGTTTTGAAACGTTTCCTAATGATGCCGAATTACATTTGATAACCTGTCGGTTTAACAGTGTTTACGGTCTGCGGACGTTTGCGTGGTATAAAATAGCAAAAGTGCTTTTTGAAGTATTATAAATTGCTCTTCAGTTCGCGTAGTGGCACTATTTCAAGGGTTTTTAAAGAAAGTGTTTGTAGTTGACGCCGAATTACGTTTCAAAACCTTTCTATTTAACAATATTTATGATCAGCGGTTGTTGTTATCGCGGGGTATAAAATAGCAAAAGTGCTTTTTGAAGTAATATAAGTCTCTCTTATATTCGGCATTAATTTAATTCACGTAGTATCACTGGATCCACTAAAGTTCAAGGTTTTTAAAGACAGCAGGGTTTAACTTAGTCCACCGGACCAACTTTAACGTTTCACATTAACAAACTAATACATATTAAACTGTGGAAGGAATAAATGGATAATAATTATAAATACATGAACTTTAGTAATTTGGTCAAATGATGTCATGGATGGAGTCACTTGCTCTGTATTGAGTAACAGTTATTTCCGTTCATAATCAAGGCATCTTAAAAGTGACGTGTTTTGTGAAGGTGGTTGGAGGAATGCTGGTGGTTATGGGGCAACATGGGTTTCCAAACATCTCTTTCTTCATTAGTAGGTGTGACCGATTAAAGGAATTTGAAACCGTTTTTCAAATCAGATTTCAACACACATTTTAAGAAATTTAATTAGACCAAATGCAGCGTGGGAAGGCGTTGGCGTGAATGTGAGCAGGGACTTATGGATAATGACTTATGGATAATGACTTATGGATAATGACTTATGGATAATGACTTATGGATAATGACTTATTGCTTTGGGATCTTTGAATACCAGCAACCATGACCTGGGAATTCTTTGAAAAATCCAGGAAGCTGATTGAACTTTTGGAGTCACAGTAATCAGAATGCAGCATCTTCCTGTCGGCACGTTAATTAATTTATTTCCACAAATGCACAACGTTTCCAGGACTTTCCAGGTTTAAAACACCCATTATGTAATCCCCTGGGAGACTTAAAAGGATTATAGGATTTTAAAAGTATCCAGGACTTTTAAAGACCTTCCAGATCTTTCTTAAGACCTACTCTCTCTGTTCCAGGGGTGCAGATTTTATGTTATTCCTTTGAACATTATTAGTCCGACTGCAGCCTCATCTGCCATTCATTTAATTAACAGAGAACAGAATGAGGCTTTGAGCTGAAAATGTGAAGCGCCTGTAAACCACGTGACGGTCATCTGGTCAGCACTCCACACAGACCAGCTACAGCAACCCCAAAGGGTCAAACCTCAAACCCAATATCCAGCTGTGAGCAGGTGGAGAAAGGGCAGCTCAGCGCTGTGCTGTGTCATCAGTAATGTGACAGATCAGGTGGCACACAGCTATTTGGATTTGCAGCAAAAAAATCAGTAAATTTAGTGAATCTGGATTTTATGTTTTTCTAATAATTTTTATAGACTGAAAACCTGTAGAGCTGCAGAGTTGTGCTGTTTTCCAACAGTTTAGCAAATAAAGTCTTCATAGTTAGACAGATATCGTGATGTGTCATTCCAGGATTGTCTAGCGGTACATTAATTATCGCAGAATTGCTGTATCGTGCGATTCCCACCGCTACAGTAATTAATAAATCTAATCTATACTATTAACTGAACATTATACCTTTTATTTAAAGTCATAATATTATACTACTCATTTATATTAGTTCCTGTTCACAACGTGGCAAAATAAAACTGTATTTCTTCATTATTTAACTTTGTTCGAGTTGAGAAGTTTCAGAATGACATGAAAATGAAAAGACCGTTACTGATGTGATGGTTTCTGACCGCTCTGTCTGCTTCAGGCGTCTCCACCTCCACAAGAAAAGGTCAGAGGTCAAACAGCCGTTTGTGCAGCTGGCAGGAGTCTCTCTGCTGAAGCCTCTGAAGGGCGTCGACCCCAACCTGATCTCCAACCTGGAGACATTTTTTACACTGGATTACCCCAAGGTGACGCTAACTGCCCCCCATGCAGCCGATAAGCCCTCACTACCATCTTAACCCAGACTCCTACCACTGACTGCCCCGCCCCCTACCACGGACTGCCCCGCCCCCTACCACGGACTGCCCCGCCCCCTACCACTGACTGCCCCGCCCCCTACCACTGACTCCTACCACTGACTCCTACCACTGACTCCTACCACTGACTCCTACCACTGACTGCCCCGCCCCCTACCACTGACTCCTACCACTGACTCCTACCACTGACTCCTACCACTGACTGCCCCGCCCCCTACCACGGACTGCCCCGCCCCCTACCACTGACTCCTACCACTGACTCCTACCACTGACTCCTACCACGGACTGCCCCGCCCCCTACCACGGACTGCCCCGCCCCCTACCACGGACTGCCCCGCCCCCTACCACGGACTGCCCCGCCCCCTACCACTGACTCCTACCACTGACTCCTACCACTGACTGCCCCGCCCCCTACCACTGACTCCTACCACGGACTGCCCCGCCCCCTACCACTGACTCCTACCACGGACTGCCCCGCCCCCTACCACTGACTGCCCCGCCCCCTACCACTGACTGCCCCGCCCCCTACCACTGACTGCCCCGCCCCCTACCACTGACTCCTACCACTGACTCCTACCACTGACTGCCCCGCCCCCTACCACTGACTCCTACCACTGACTCCTACCACTGACTCCTACCACTGACTCCTACCACTGACTGTCCCGCCCCCTACCACTGACTCCTACCACTGACTCCTACCACTGACTCCTACCACTGACTCCTACCACTGACTGTCCCGCCCCCTACCACTGACTCCTACCACTGACTCCTACCACTGACTCCTACCACTGACTCCTACCACGGACTGCCCCGCCCCCTACCACTGACTGTCCCGCCCCCTACCACTGACTCCTACCACTGACTCCTACCACTGACTCCTACCACGGACTGCCCCGCCCCCTACCACTGACTGTCCCGCCCCCTACCACTGACTCCTACCACTGACTCCTACCACTGACTCCTACCACGGACTGCCCCGCCCCTACCACGGACTGCCCCGCCCCCTACCACTGACTCCTACCACTGACTCCTACCACTGACTCCTACCACGGACTGCCCCGCCCCTACCACGGACTGCCCCGCCCCCTACCACTGACTCCTACCACTGACTCCTACCACTGACTCCTACCACGGACTCCTACCACTGACTCCTACCACGGACTACCCCGCCCCCTACCACGGACTGCCCCGCCCCCTACCACTGACTCCTACCACTGACTCCTACCACGGACTGCCCCGCCCCCTACCACTGACTGCCCCGCCCCCTACCACTGACTGCCCCGCCCCCTACCACTGACTGCCCCGCCCCCTACCACTGACTCCTACCACTGACTCCTACCACTGACTCCTACCACGGACTGCCCCGCCCCCTACCACGGACTGCCCCGCCCCCTACCACTGACTCCTACCACTGACTCCTACCACTGACTCCTACCACGGACTGCCCCGCCCCCTACCACGGACTGCCCCGCCCCCTACCACGGACTGCCCCGCCCCCTACCACGGACTGCCCCGCCCCCTACCACTGACTCCTACCACTGACTCCTACCACTGACTGCCCCGCCCCCTACCACTGACTCCTACCACGGACTGCCCCGCCCCCTACCACTGACTCCTACCACGGACTGCCCCGCCCCCTACCACTGACTGCCCCGCCCCCTACCACGGACTGCCCCGCCCCCTACCACTGACTGCCCGCCCCCTACCACTGACTCCTACCACTGACTCCTACCACTGACTGCCCCGCCCCCTACCACTGACTCCTACCACTGACTCCTACCACTGACTGCCCCGCCCCCTACCACTGACTCCTACCACTGACTCCTACCACTGACTCCTACCACTGACTCCTACCACTGACTGTCCCGCCCCCTACCACTGACTCCTACCACTGACTCCTACCACTGACTCCTACCACTGACTCCTACCACGGACTGCCCCGCCCCCTACCACTGACTGTCCCGCCCCCTACCACTGACTCCTACCACTGACTCCTACCACTGACTCCTACCACGGACTGCCCCGCCCCCTACCACTGACTGTCCCGCCCCCTACCACTGACTCCTACCACTGACTCCTACCACTGACTCCTACCACGGACTGCCCCGCCCCCTACCACGGACTGCCCCGCCCCCTACCACTGACTCCTACCACCTGACTCCTACCACTGACTCCTACCACGGACTGCCCCGCCCCCTACCACTGACTGCCCCGCCCCCTACCACTGACTCCTACCACCTGACTCCTACCACCTGACTCCTACCACTGACTCCTACCACTGACTCCTACCACGGACTACCCCGCCCCCTACCACGGACTGCCCCGCCCCCTACCACTGACTCCTACCACTGACTCCTACCACGGACTGCCCCGCCCCCTACCACGGACTGCCCCGCCCCCTACCACTGACTGCCCCGCCCCCTACCACTGACTCCTACCACTGACTCCTACCACTGACTCCTACCACTGACTGCCCCGCCCCCTACCACCTGACTCCTACCACTGACTCCTACCACTGACTGCCCCGCCCCTACCACTGACTCCTACCACTGACTCCTACCACTGACTCCTACCACTGACTGCCCCGCCCCCTACCACTGACTCCTACCACTGACTGTCCCGCCCCCTACCACTGACTCCTACCACTGACTCCTACCACCTGACTCCTACCACTGACTCCTACCACTGACTGCCCCGCCCCCTACCACTGACTCCTACCACTGACTGCCCCGCCCCCTACCACTGACTCCTACCACTGACTCCTACCACTGACTCCTACCACTGACTGCCCCGCCCCCTACCACTGACTCCTACCACTGACTGCCCCGCCCCTACCACTGACTCCTACCACTGACTCCTACCACTGACTCCTACCACCTGACTCCTACCACTGACTCCTACCACTGACTCCTACCACCTGACTACTGTGTCTCTGCTCTGTGGCTACCACCCAGTTGCCCCAGCTACCATCTGGTTGCCCTAAGCTACTGTTTAACTACCCCTGACTACAGTAGAACCAAACCTGCCCCGTTCCAGGGGTTTGTACAGTAATTTGAACCTTTTTGTTTTGCAGTACGAGATCCTGCTGTGCGTTCAGGACCAGGACGATCCAGCTGTTGACGTCTGTAAAAAGTTGTTGGGAAAATATCCCAACGTGGACGCTCGATTATTCATCGGTGAGACTTTTGTTGTTAGACTTGTTCCGCTGTTGTCAACATCATCTAACAACATGTAACTCGCTTTTTGTTAGCGGCTAATGTTAGCATGTGTTGTTCTTCGGTTCTCAGGGGGGAAGAAAGTTGGAATCAACCCCAAGATCAACAACCTGATGCCGGGCTACGAAGGAGCCAAATATGGCCTGGTCTGGATCTGTGACAGCGGCATCAGAGGTCAGGACAGTCTCATTTTTACTGTCGACGCCGAGACACGTCCTACCTGCTAATGCTAACTCTGTGTTTGTGTGTGTGTGTGGCAGTGAAACCTGACACCCTGACAGATCTGACCAATCAGATGACAGAGAAGGTGGGATTGGTCCATGGGTTGCCATATGTTGCCGACCGCCAAGGCTTCGCCGCCACACTGGAGCAGGTAAAAGCTAACAAGCGAACATCAAGCTAAGTCTTCTGGCTGGCTTCCAGGTTTGCATGCGATCAAAACTTTTAGCAATCGCATAGCAATGCTAACGTCATGTTAAAGTATGTTTAGAACTAGCCTTTAAAGCTAATGAGGCGTGTGTATTTCGGGACGTCCCACCCTCGCTCCTACATCTCTGCTAACGTGACAGTTTCTAAGTGCTAACAGATGCTAATGCTAACCTGTGTATATAAGTGCTAACAGATGCTAATGCTAACCTGTGTTTATAAGTGCTAACAGATGCTAATGCTAACCTGTGTTTAGGTGTATTTCGGGACGTCCCACCCTCGCTCATCTCTGCTAACGTGACGGTTTATAAGTGCTAACAGATACTAATGCTAACCTGTGTTTATAAGTGCTAACAGATGCTAATGCTAATCTGTGTTTATAAGTGCTAACAGATGCTAATGCTAACCTGTGTATATAAGTGCTAACAGATGCTAATGCTAATCTGTGTTTATAAGTGCTAACAGATGCTAATGCTAACCTGTGTTTAGGTGTATTTCGGGACGTCCCACCCTCGCTCCTACATCTCTGCTAACGTGATGGTTTATAAGTGCTAACAGATACTAATGCTAACCTGTGTTTATAAGTGCTAACAGATGCTAATGCTAAACTGTGTTTAGGTGTATTTCGGGACGTCCCACCCTCGCTCCTACATCTCTGCTAACGTGACGGTTTATAAGTGCTAACAGATACTAATGCTAACCTGTGTTTATAAGTGCTAACAGATACTAATGCTAACCTGTGTTTATAAGTGCTAACAGATGCTAATGCTAACCTGTGTTTAGGTGTATTTCGGGACGTCCCACCCTCGCTCCTACATCTCTGCTAACGTGATGGTTTATAAGTGCTAACAGATACTAATGCTAACCTGTGTTTATAAGTGCTAACAGATGCTAATGCTAACCTGTGTTTAGGTGTATTTCGGGACGTCCCACCCTCGCTCCTACATCTCTGCTAACGTGACGGGGATAAAGTGTGTGACGGGGATGTCGTGCCTGATGAGGAAGGACGTGTTGGATCAAGCCGGCGGATTGGTCGCCTTCGCTCAGTACATCGCGGAGGATTACTTCATGGCTAAAGCCATCGCTGACAGGTTAGCGCGTTAGCATTAGCGCCTGTAGCTTGGCTGGTTTAATGTTTACAGCTGGTGTTTGATGATTCGTTGCTCCCCGTCTCCTCAGAGGCTGGAAGTTCTCCATGGCGACACAGGTGGCGCTGCAGAACTCTGGGTCGTACTCCATTGCCCAGTTCCAGTCCCGCATGATCAGGTGACCTCAGAACTCTTCATCTGATTGGCTGTTTTCATGATTCATACTTTTGTCTCCACAATAATGTCCATAATATATTATGATATATATTAAAGTGTAGGAATCGTATGTGGTATTTCCTTAATGTGTGTGTGAGTTATTTATATTATCATTTCAGTCACAAACAGGATTTCTGTTGAGCGTGATGATAATTAATAAGCGGGTTACTGTGTTCAGGTGGACCAAGCTGAGGATCAACATGCTGCCTGGGACCGTGCTGGAGCCCGTCTCCGAGTGCTTCCTGGCCAGCCTCATCATTGGCTGGGCTGCTCATTATGTGTTCAGGTACACGGCCAATCACAGGGCAGGAGCATGTTGCAGATATTATCACCTGCGGCAGGTGGAGTTCCCTCTGTGAGAGAACCCGTTCTGATTAATGACGTGATGGCCGCTTTTCTGTCACGACTATACTGTAATGTATTCATACTGTAACAGATGGGTAGAAACTAATAAACCTGAAATATTTATTGATCCCTGTTCGTCCTCAGATCAGCTTTAAACTGTGATCAGACTTCCTGTTTACATGGCGTTAAACATGTTAATGTGTGTGCTGCAGGTGGGACATGATGGTCTTCTTCATGTGTCACTGTCTCGCCTGGTTCCTGTCGGACTACATCCAGCTGACTGGAGTTCAGGTACTCACCTTCAACTTAATGATGTGACTTTTTCTTCCGGCAGAGGTCCTTGAAATCCTTGAAAGTTTGTGGATTTAATACTGTTAGAGATAGATCCACCGATCAGCCATAACTTTATGACCACTGTCGGTGGGCGGGATATATTACACAGGGCCCCCAGGGTTTTCAGACCCCGAGGTTTCTGCTTGGTCCTGACCTATCAAAAGGCGACAGGGTCATGATGCAGGCGGGGTGTGAAGGCTGGTCCGTGTGGTCCGGCCCCACAGGCGAGCTGCTGAAGAAGTTGGTGCTGGTTCTGATAGAAAGGGGTCAGAACACACAGTGAAGTCCGGGACCGCCCGGGTCAGGGCAGGTGGTCTTAATGTTCTGGCTGATCGTATCTCCCCGCACAGGTTTAGAGCTGTCACATTGTCGGACTGTGACTGGTTATTGATCGATGATGTCATCTCGCAGGGCGGGCCGCTGTGCTTCTCCAAGCTGGACTTTGCGGTGGCGTGGTTCATCAGGGAGTCGATGGCGGTGCAGATCTTCCTGTCGGCTCTGTGGGACCCGACCATCAGCTGGAGGACCGGCCGGTACCGGCTGCGCTGCGGCGGCACCGCCGAGGAGATCCTCGACGTCTAGTTACCATGGCAACGGGCAACTTCCTCATCCTCCTGGAGACCAGGATGAGGAGGAGACGAGAGAAAGAGACTGATGTTTGTTTTTGTTTTTTTATGAGAAAAACTGAAGAGTGTGTGTGTTGGTGTGCGCGCGTGTGTGTGTGTGTGTGTTTAACTATTTATGTTCCTTTTGGTGCTAAGCTGAATGATGCCAGAACAAGCCAATGAGAGTGCAGGGAGAGAGTGACGCATCGCACTGAATTGGCTGATCTTATATCGGCGCTGATCTCTGAACCAATCAACTTTAATGTTTCAGGAAGTCTGAAATAATAATCTGAGCTGATTTAAACACGACAGCATTTATACTATATACAGAATATTTTACTTTGAAAACCATGGGAGCTTTGATTCTGATGATTTTCAAGCTAAAACATCTGACTTCTCTGTCAGCAGGAAGTCGTCCGTCGTGGTTAAAGGGGACTCGACGGTTCCTGACTTGAGGAGGTGAATTATCTCCTTTCACACGTCTGGTTAGAAGAACAGCTCCCCGCTGGACGTCCGTGTGAAAACAGATAAAACCTCAGATACAATGTGAAGCGACCGCTCGGCGAGCGAGGAGAGGCTCGCTGTCTCCGCCGTTCTGCTGATGTTCTTCATGTGAACAAATACATTTCATTGAAAGAGAACCGCATTTCCTGAAGGTGAACAAAGAGGAGACATTTTCTTTTAGATTTGTAAAGAAAACGTGTTTGGTCATTTAAAAAGCTCACAAATACACGATTCTGTGATCTTGTAAGTGTGACGCAGAGAATCTCATGTTTACCAGAACTTTAGAACAAATTATATTTAAAAGAAACATCTTTCGGATTCAGCTGGGTCTGGACCAGAAACCTGGATCCTAATTCTGAAAAGCAGTCAAGAGAAGAAGAAGAAAGTCTTAAAAACTTGTCTGAATGTGTTTCTGAAGGTTGTGATGTCACAGTGATGTCACAGTGTGTTAGAGCGAAATGTCCGGTTTCTGGTTTTTAAATTTGACAAACGGACTTTGAACCCGAAGCAGGACTGAACGGATCAGTATTCTGACGTTTAACGGTCGCGATATTTCAAGTGATTCACAGAACAAACAAACACAGGACCAAATAAAGAAAGAAAAGAGACCGCCACATTTCTGACCTTCTGTTGTGAGTCTGAACGCTGCGTGTGCGAGCGTGTGCGTGCGAGCGTGTGTTTTTTAAAGCCGTGTTGCTTCACTGTTAGCCCTTAGTTGTTAGTGTAGCCCGCGAGGGGGGGGGTTTGGTTGATGACCTCAGCTTCGAGTCGGATGAACCCCACCCCCCCATCATTGCCGTTGTCCAATAGGATCCTGATTTGTTTATTGTTGTTGTTTTTTTTAATTCCACTGACCTGCTGTAGTCTGAACCGACCAATCACAGTGGAGGATTGTGTCAACACAGGAACAATAAAGTTTTATCCTTTGAAAGCTGAACCTCAACGTGTCGCTTGCTTGTTGTACATTTCCAAACGATCTGATTGGCCGGCAGGACAGACGGTGGGCGGAGCTTTGCAGAAACCGAGGACAGCCATTGGTTGTCGGATGATTTATTTATTCAGTGATTCATGCTACAACTTCCTGTCACGCTTTCAGAATAAATAAAAATTCAACAAACGTTTTGTTTCTGAATCGAGCACAGACCCCCCCCCCGCCATGCACAGGATTAAAAAATATTTCATATAATAACAGTCCCACCTGCTCCCACAATGCACCACGAGTACTTTACATTCATCAGCAGAAACATTCAGGGTTTGTTTTCTGCAAAGAGTCGAACGAAATCAAAGGAAACCTGCGAGAGGATTTAAAACTCACACAGGAGTTTCAAATAAACATTTAGGAAATATTTCTTCTAGTTTTATGTTTTTCTGTCTTCATGTTCCAAGTAACAGTACTTCACATTACATACTAACATGTACATACATGTAGTAAGTGTGTAAAATAAACAAGTATTTAACATTGTACAGTGTAACAAGTACTGCAGTACGTCAAAGTATTTCTAAAACATTACTACACCTGTAAAGTACAACAAGCTCACAAACATGTTATATACAAGTACGTTATGTTACAGTACTACATAGTATTTTTACATGTAGTGTACACAAGTAGAATGTTACAGGTAATTTCTTATAAATCAGGATACCAGTTAATGTTACAATAATTCCACCATGTGTAAGATACTACATGTATAACAAGTATTTTAACATGTAACAGGTAGAAACTTGCACACTGGAAGTATTGTAAAGTCTAAGAACTAAGTGTGTAACGTACAAGTATATAGCAAGTATAATTACACTTTATTGTACTTTTTACTCTCGTCACTTCCCGACACATGTAAACGTTTGTTGTTATTTAGACTGTTTCTACTTACAGTATGTGAAAGAGTTGCATAACAAGTACAAAGTAAAACAGGTTTGTTTGCAGCGAATCAGCAGCAGCGCTCAACAACAACAACAACAACAACAACAACAAACTTGTTACTTGAAACATGTGAAGACATGAAAACATAAAATGTTCATAATTATATGTGACAATAATTTGGTTTGTGTTTCGGGTGGCAACTTAAACTCGTAAGAAGTAAAAACCTGAAAGCCCATCAAAACAGGAAATGACACCGTAATGTGAGAATGAGTTGGTCCAATCAAAAGGCACGCTAACTTTGGCTTGGTTTGACCCCGCCTCCTTCTCCAACACTGTTTACAGAAGACTTCAAAATCACTGAATTAAATTAAAAAACTAGTTTTGAATCTTTTCGCTGTAAAGCCGCCGCCTCCCTTCGTACGTCCCTCAACATTTAACCAGAGGTCAGAAGGCAGACGGGGAATCGGCACTTCCTGTTTTTAGTGGCTTGTTTCCTAAAATCAGTCAAAGTGAAAATAAAAACCTGAAGCTGCAAAAATAATCTAAAAAAACAGGAGCTGGATTTAAATTAAATATTTTTAATAGAAAAAAGAAGGAGGGACATTTGAAGATGAACCAATCACAGCTCAGCTTGATATAAACACACGCACAATATATAAATACACACACGCAGGTACGACAGGTGGGCGGGACGTCTAAAGCATTATCTCATGTTGTACAGTATAAATACATTCATGATTAAAAAACCTTCCCAAAAAATATTTACCAACAGTACGACGTGTGACAAAAAATATTTTTAACTAAGTGAAAAAATTCTACAAAACAAACCCAAAGTCAGATCAACAAGACCCGCCACCGGCCCTCCACCGGACGCCACGTATAAAACCCAGCAGGATCCAGAAAAATAAGGCACAGAGGAAGGTTGAGATCGCAGCCACCTAAACATCTACAGTAATAATAGTAACAACAACAACAACAACTTCAGCCAATCAGACGGTGGCAGAAAGTGCCGATGAGAAAGGCACTGAAGACTCAAAACGTTCAGAAAATCAGTGAAACTTTGAAGAAATAATAAAAACATTAATGTCATGATGGAAAATAAAGTTACAGTGAAATATGAAACTTTACAAGACCGAACTTTGTCCATGCTAACTTTAAATATTAAAACAAAATATATATTAGATCTTTCCATCAGTTTGGGCTTTTGGAGAAACAGCAGGTTTTATTTTGAAAATCCTCATTTTAACTTTATAAAGATCACATTAACTTAACATTTAGACAATAAAAAGTTCCACTCACATCATGAACTTTTTGTTGGGAATCCACTACCCATGATGCCATTTGCTACTGGGCATTCAGTCTGCTCAGGAATGTGCTCTGTAACCCCTGTAACCATGGCAACGCCTCCTCGTGTCATCGCCCGTCACTGTGATGTCACCGTGATGTCAGAGTGTTTGTAGGCACAGAAAGCTCGGTGGCAACGGGAGGTTTCGTATTGGTCCGATTGTTCCTGCCATAAGCCAATCAGAAGCCTTGAAGTCTGGTTGGTCAGATGGTGGGTTTGGAGAAGGAGACTCGAAGGTCAGGGGTCAGATGGTGGGTTTGGAGAAGGAGACTCGAAGGTCAGGGGTCAGATGGTGGACACGAAGGTCAGGGGTCAGATGGTGGACACGAAGGTCAGGGGTCAGATGGTGGACACGAAGGTCAGGGGTCAGATGGTGGACTTGGAGAAGGAGACTCGGAGGTGCTGGTTGTGGTCCAGCTGGTGGTCGTGTAGAGCAATCAGAGCCTCGATGGCTTCCTCCACAGACGCCAGCTGCATCAGCGCCATCTTCCTGTCCTTCCTGTGACAGCCGGGAAGTGACATCATGAAACAAGGAGGAAACACACGGCAGCCATGTTGTAGTTTTTAGCTCGTCTGACAGACATGTTGGTTAACAGAAAGTGTTTTACTCACTGGAAGAACTTGAAGGCCTTCACCGTGAAGCCGCTGGAGGTGAACACGTCCTTCAGCTCGTCCTCGCTGACGGCGGAGCTGCGAGACGAGAAGGAAGGCGTTAACACCTGGCGGAGTTAGAGAAACACTCCCTGTATAAACACTCTGAGTGGAGCTGAACCTACGGGATGTTGGACAGGTGCAGCGTGGCCGACGGCGGGAAGATGTTGTTGAAGTTTTTGGATCCGGGTTTTTTGAAGCGGTGGAGGGCGGAGCCTGAGAAGTCCCGGGTCAGCGCCTGTTCCTCCTGCCCCGCTCCCCCGCGAGGCAGCTGCACCACCGGGTGTTTGGACAGCATCACCCGAATCACGTTACCATGGAGACGCTGGCCATTCAGGTGACTCATCGCTGTCGGGGGAGGGGGGGTAAATCACAAACATCATTTAGTCGGCGGTAAAACGAACGTGTGTTGAACATGTGATCTATATGTTTAATATACACAGCAAATACATACGTATACAGGATCTCACAGAGTGAGTTCACCCTCACATGTTTGTAAATATCTGATTCTATCTTTTCATGTTCAACACTGAACAAACGACAAACGACACTTTGCTACAATGTAAAGTAGTGATCGTGCAGCTTGTGTAACAGTGTAAAGTAGCGAGCGTACAGATTGTGTAACAGCGTAAAGTAGTACAACAGTGTAAAGTAGTGAGTGTACAGCTTGTGTAACAGTGTAAAGTAGTACAACAGTGTAAAGCAGTGAGCGTGCAGCTTGTATAACAGTGTAAAGTAGTGAGTGTACAGCTTGTGTAACAGTGTAAAGTAGTACAACAGTGTAAAGCAGTGAGCGTGCAGCTTGTATAACAGTGTAAAGTAGTGAGTGTACAGCTTGTGTAACAGTGTAAAGTAGCGAGCGTGCAGCTTGTGTAACAGTGTAAAGTAGTGAGCGTGCAGCTTGTGTAACAGTGTAAAGTAGTGAGCGTGCAGCTTGTGTAACAGTGTAAAGTAGTGAGTGTACAGCTTGTATAACAGTGTAAAGTAGTGAGTGTACAGCTTGTGTAACAGTGTAAAGTAGTACAACAGTGTAAAGCAGTGAGCGTGCAGCTTGTATAACAGTGTAAAGTAGTGAGTGTACAGCTTGTGTAACAGTGTAAAGTAGCGAGCGTGCAGCTTGTGTAACAGTGTAAAGCAGTGAGCGTGCAGCTTGTGTAACAGTGTAAAGTAGCGAGCGTGCAGCTTGTGTAACAGTGTAAAGTAGCGAGCGTGCAGCTTGTGTAACAGTGTAAAGTAGCGAGCGTGCAGCTTGTGTAACAGTGTAAAGTAGCGAGCGTACAGATTGTGTAACAGCGTAAAGTAGTACAACAGTGTAAAGTAGTGAGTGTGCAGCTTGTATAACAGTGTAAAGTAGTGAGCGTACAGATTGTGTAACAGCGTAAAGTAGTATAACAGTGTAAAGTAGTGAGTGTACAGCTTGTGTAACAGTGTAAAGTAGTGAACGTGCAGTTTGTAGAACAGTGTAAAGTAGTGAGCGTGCAGCTTGTATAACAGTGTAAAGTAGTGAGCGTGCAGTTTGTATAACAGTGTAAAGTAGTGAGCGTGCAGCTTGTATAACAGTGTAAAGTAGTGAACGTGCAGTTTGTAGAACAGTGTAAAGTAGTGAGCGTGCAGCTTGTATAACAGTGTAAAGTAGTGAGCGTGCAGTTTGTATAACAGTGTAAAGTAGTGAGCGTGCAGCTTGTATAACAGTGTAAAGTAGTGAGCGTGCAGCTTGTGTAACAGTGTAAAGTAGTGAGCGTACAGCTTGTGTAACAGTGTAAAGTAGTACAACAGTGTAAAGTAGTGAGCGTGCAGCTTGTATAACAGTGTAAAGTAGCGAGCGTGCAGCTTGTATAACAGTGTAAAGTAGCGAGCGTGCAGCTTGTGTAACAGTGTAAAGTAGCGAGCGTGCAGCTTGTATAACAGTGTAAAGTAGCGAGCGTGCAGCTTGTATAACAGTGTAAAGTAGCGAGCGTGCAGCTTGTATAATAGTGTAAAGTAGCGAGCGTACAGCTTGTATAACGGTGTAAAGTAGCGAGCGTGCAGCTTGTATAACGGTGTAAAGTAGCGAGCGTGCAGCTTGTATAATAGTGTAAAG